TATCCTCTCACCAGAAGAAGATCTTCAAAGTTGATGACCACATCGGAGTTGCAATCGCCGGACTTACTGCCGACGGCCGTGTACTTTCTCGTTATATGCGTAATGAGTGCATTAATTATAGTTACGCTTATGAGTCGCCGTTGCCTGTAGGCCGCCTTGTTGTTCAGCTCGCTGATAAAGCTCAGGTTCGCTCTTTCTCAAAACCCTAAGTTGTTTTGTATCTGATATCTGCTTAAATGATTGCTTTTTTGCGGTTTGTTATTTGCTGATGAGCTGAATTCGTCTGTTGCGCTGTTGAAATTGAGGGGCTAGGGTTTTAGTCATGCGCAGAATGCAAGGTTTTGGCAGCGGGTGCAAGCTATAGATATCTAAGGAAACAACTTTGGATTGGAAATTTATGATTTTTTTTGCATTTACTGTCACAAAGGAGTAGTTGGTGCAGTGGTACTCTATATCCACTGCCTTAAACTCCTGGATCCACCTCTGATTTTAGCTTGGTTCGAAGGGGGAACTAGTGTTCTGGTTTCAGAATTTCCCTTCTGGGGAAAGCAAGTTGGATTTTCCCTCAAACTCTTGTCGTGTAGTATTATTATCATTTGTTGAATTGAAGTGTTTATGTTGCTTTTGGCTAGTAGTTTCTCATTCATTACAAGTTGGATTTTTCTCAAGCTCTTGTTGTATAGTATTAGTATCATTTGTTGAATTGAAGTGTTTGTGTTCCTTTTGGCTAGTAGTTTCTCGTTCATTATCTCTAGCTGCGCCTCTCTTTTACTTACAAAGTGAGTAAATAAGCAATAGTTCTAAGAAAAAGGGTGGGAGGCGGAGGAGGAATCTGTTCAAAAAATTTCATTTCTTCCTTGCTTTCCTCCCATTGCCAGTGATATTGAGTCACAACTTCAATGCAATGAGACGTAGCTTAATTTGGTTTAGCATGAAGGTTATCGATGTCCGTGTTCCTATTTCGTATTCCCTTTGTCGACTTGTGTGCTGCTCTCTTGATATATTCAGTAATAGAGCAGTTTTCTCAACTATGCAACTATAGGAAGATTGCACCGTAAAAGATTTAGGTCCGGCTCCCTAGATTCTTAAAATGCATAAGAACTACTTATCTGATATAGTTATTGAAACGGTAGACATGAGCTTTAGCGAGTGACCATTCAACAGATTGGTAATATAGCTTGAACGCTTTTATTGCTCCATTGACTAAAGTAGGTTTGTTGTAAATACTCTTGCGTGGTCCTAGAATTAATTTATGTTTGTTTTTCACTTGTCAAATATCCATATTCAGTTCGAAACTTGGAATGGAAGAAAATTACTTACCAATTGCTGCATATTTGAAGCTTATAGGTGCTATGCTTTTTCTTGGGCGATCTATTTGGAGCTAGTTACCATTCTATTTTACTGTTAACAACTTCTGTTAAAGCTGATGCACTTTAATTGTTTGCACATGCATTTGTCATTCCTGGAGCTGCATCATAGTCACATTATAGCCCGGCTTGTCCAAACTTTTTCCCACTTCCACTTTGCAAATGAGGTGCCATAATATGAAGTGCTACCTCTAGAGTAATTAAATGTGCCTTAAAACTGGGTATAAGATCGTTGGATTTTCCTGTCAGATATCAATATATGTTCTTGAGTAAATTAGATACTTTGCCAAATGAGGGAACATGGTAATAAATGAGTTGCTGCAATGTGTGGCCTAGTCGTAATAGCTAGTGTTGTTCAAGCTGTTATCATAAGCGATCATTCTTAATCTTCTCGTAAGGAAGTACAGTGTAATTCAGACTATTTGAATTAGGTACCTACTATATGCTGCCTATTCTGTCTTTATGGAAAAGTATTGTACATTTTAGAACTCACCCGCTAGAAACTTCTACTTTTCGTGTTTAGAAAATATGGAATGGGTTTTGCAGTCTAAAACTTCACTTTAGCCTTACGTTGTGATTTTTTGAGTTCCATGATTTTATTATTGCAGACACTCCTTGAAATTTTTCTTATTGCTAACTGTTGGTAATTCTGCAATTCAAGTAGGTCCTGAGGTTTTACTTCTAAACACTTTCACACACGTCTAAATTCTGAGGATTCTGAAATTTGCACTTAATTCCGCGAACTCTAGAAATCTCCCATAGAGGCAAAAGAAATATAGACATGCACGGGATAAAAAATGAACGAAGTAGTGTATGGCTTAATTGACCAATTTGCAATGATACCTTCTTAGACTTGTGGAATAAGTTGTGTTCCGGCAACTGTTAAAACTAGAGGGCTGCAAAGAAAATTGAGTGGCATTAATTTCTTGAGTCATTTTTACAAGCCTTGATGTGTAGACAATTGTCATATTCTTTCTGCTTTAACAATTCAGAGTAAGGTTACATCAAGTTTACCAATCTGAGTTCTTAATATAATATTTTAGTTAGTTAATAGTTACAATAGACCCTTATGGTCCGGCCCTTCCTCGGACCCCGCGCATAGCGGGAGCTTAGTGCACCGGGCTGCCCTTTTCTTTTACTAGCTCATGTCAAATAGTAATAAGAGGACTCCTCTAGCTTCCTTATTAAAAAAAAGACTCTAGCTCTTCTCAAGAAAGCATATGGTCTTGGGAAGCTCTGAACATCTTATTTATGCACAGTTTTTCGGGTGTTACGATGATAGGTTGCAACCAACTGTGGTGCCTGATATAGGATTTCTATAATTTGTCCCGAAATGTCTTACAGAAGGAAAAAGTGGAGCTCAGCTCTTAGATGATAGCTGGTATTCTTGATGTTCGAACAGTTCTGTTCCAGTAATGAAACAGAAAAGTCAACAAGGTTCTTTAGCTCTTCACTACGGAGAATCAGTGCACCTGCAAATGGCACATGTGCAAAGCCCTAGTTCATGGAGGAGAGCTGAAGAAAAACTAAAATTCTTTTTAGTCCTTTGTCATGTCCTGGTGGATATTGAGCTATATGTTGTTGTTTCCCTCAATTTGTCAGGATGATATATTGATGGAACGGATTTTTGTTATTGGTATGCGAGGCTAACTGTCTGATTTGAAAGTTGATGCCTCTTTCTTGATCAATATCATCTTAACATTCACTTGTGTGGCAGGTCTGCACTCAACGATCTTGGAAACGGCCTTATGGTGTTGGCCTGCTTGTTGGTGGGCTGGATGAGTCTGGTGCTCACCTTTATTACAATTGCCCTAGTGGTAACTACTTCGAGTATCAAGCTTTTGCCATTGGATCTCGATCACAAGCTGCCAAAACCTACTTGGAACGTAGGTTTGAGACTTTCATGGATTCTTCATGGGAAAGCCTGCTTAAGGACGCACTCTTTGCACTGAGAGAAACTTTGCAAGGAGAAAAACTAACAAGCACCAATTGCACGGTCGCAGTGGTAGGAGTAGGAGAGGCTTTCCATATGTTGGACAAGGAAACTATACAAGCATTGATCAATGAATTTGAGATAGCTGGTGAAGAAGCTCCTGCTGCAGCCCCAGATGAAGCTGGTAGTGATGAACCGGCAGCAGCACCTGAAGAGGGTGCGCCTGCTGATCAGGGAGCTGCCCCGATGGATATTTGATGATGTTATGTCCTCCTTTAGGCCTCTCTTCTTTCATATTCAGAGATTTCTTGTTAGAATATTGAGATTTTGTGTGGCACAATGGGTAATATTTTCTGCTTGGATGTTTTATTACGCAATCTTGCTTTACTTTGGTCCAATCATGCTTCTGAAGTTGAACTATAAACAGTTATATATGACTTTGTTGGGTTAGAGCTCTCTCTCTCCGTGTTTTTCTTTGTTATGCACAATTCATTTTCTTCTGTCAGTAACTGTCGATGAAATGACAACATGACCTTCCTACTTCACTATAACTCCATAAGCAACTGACCAAATCTTTAGGTTACTCTTTCTTGTCCTTGTCTGGTCAAGAATTGGGAGGACAGCTGCTTGTAGTAATGGTTCGCCTAAACTGTAGAGATTTTGAGGTAGGGGTGGTGTATTAGTTTGTTAAGTTTGGAGATGAGGGAAACTTATGACTATGGTTGAATGAGAGCTTATCGTTATGTTTAATTCACAAGTTTGAGTAGGTTATATATGAAAGGAAAAGAATGTGTGTATTTGTTAGACGTGCATGTTACCTCCATGTGGTGTACAGAAACAAGCTGACAGACCCCTTTGTAGTTTTAAAAGCCAAGTATTTTACCTCCACTAATTGGTTTCTGATCAAATTTCAGATTAGAACTGTCGCCGGAGAACCTCATATATAATAAAACTAAACACCTTGAGGTATTACATATTCTATTCACATCCACTTGTGCAGTATAATTGCAATTTGTTGTCATGATATCCGAAGCTAATGCAATAATTACAAGTGTCTCTTCCAATAGGTAAAGTTAATGGGATATATTGTAAAATTTCCATAGTGCCTTAAAAAAATATATGTGTCGACTAGCTCTATATTTGAATTCCTTATCTTCAGTTCAGAGCTGTACAACGTATTTGGACTTTCATCGTTGTAAATCTGGGCTAGTTCTATGAATGGTTATGATTTCTCATCAACTCCAGATGCAATGCCATCAATCATCATCGTCACCTTACTTGGTGGGGTTTGTGAGCTCTTCTATAATTATTAAGCGAGTGCTTCTGCGTGGGTCTTCGATACAGACCATCTTCATTTGCTTTTTTCTATTTGTTCTTTCCATTGTTGCTTAAATGGATTTCAATTATTATTCCATATTATTTCTAGTGGTACCAACGGACGGATAAATTTCTTGTTTTGCAAATCTCCATACGGGCTTTTGTTTAGAGATTTCAACTTCATCTTATATTACTATACTTGGGCGAATTTCTTGTTAAGCAAATTGCTGAATGAGCTTTAGTTTAGTGATCAAAACTTCATCTTATAGTACTTAAGTGCAGGATTCTAATCGCACCATGGGCCATTCCTCACTGCCAAAAAAGTTAAAAAAGAAAGAAAAATGCATCCGTTCGAGTCAGAGAACCACCGTTCTACTTGAATATCATTTCTAATAGCTCGTTATAAAAAGGAAGATGCATGTTCTGGTCGTGGATTGTACAAACTAGGTTCAATCAAGTTCATCGAGCTACAACTCAGAGAAGCAGGACGAAGGGATAGAAGCTTTGATTCTCTGCTCTATGGCAAGTTTCAAGGCAGTGTACATAAAACTGCATCACGATATTTGAATTAAATTGGACATCTGGATTCAATAATAGGAACCTCGTTCAACATTTCTTCTTGAAAAGTCAAATAGCAGGAGTAGGCACTTAAAAAACACAGTGCTGCTCTTTTTTCCTTTGTCCTTTTTCTTTTGAGTGGGAGGGGGGAAGGGAGGAGAGGTTTCGGCTGGAGGGAGAAGAAACCTCGTAACGATAGAACAAAATCACTCTTATATATCACAAGACTCACAACAAGCATTTGCTTGGCTCTGGAATGGAGATTCCCTTTGTCTGCATTTGTTTGTACATCCATTGCCAGTTTTCAGGAGTCACCTCACCCCCAAGAGATCGAATCACAGACCCACCGCTGCAAGAACCAACCCGGCAACATTCCTCCAGTGGCAGCCCTCGTACCAATCCATACAAAAACCCACTTGCAAACAGATCTCCTGCACCTGTAGCATCTGTTACTTTTGCCTCGCCAATTGCTGGAACACGGACTAACTGAAAACCAAAATACTTCATCTTTGTTAACCAAACCAACACTAAGTTACAATGGTAAAATCAACAGCGACAAAATGCTACTAAGTTTGCTAGCAAACCTACTCTATGAATGACAAAGAATCACTAAGTTGAGGCATTTGAAAGAAGAAAAAAAGGACTTCATCTTTCGGTAATTGGATGCATATCCAGAAAAAAGGTCCTTTCCTAAAGCATTTTTTGCTGCTAGTGGGAAGGATAAGAGATACCTCTTTCCCATGTTTTGCCATGCACCCATTTTGTGCTAAGGTTACAACAGCCCACTTGCAATGTTTAGCCAGAAATTCAAGTGCTGCCTCAGGATCTGCATTGTCTTCACCTCTGCACCAAATGTTGAAAAGACATGGAGCTTCATTTGCATGAACTGCATGAACGTTATATCTCAATATAATATCTCAGTTTCAATCCAAGGACAGGTAATCACCTTAGCAGCTCAGTTGCTTCATCCTCATTTGCAAAGCAAAGGTCTATGTTCCCTGACTCCAGTAATTCAATTAGAGGTAATTTAAACTTCCTCACCATCTGCCATATATTACGAATATCAGAAAGGCACCAAAACCAAAAATGGAGAAGATCACAAATCCTTTTGCTGAGTAACAGGAAAAATCAGACACATTTCAACAGAAACGAAGAAATATGAGTTCCATTCAAACTTTGAGTTATTTTTAAGCGTCTCCAATTGTTATCTCATGAAATTTTGTTTTCTACAGACAGCTCAAATGCAGAGTACGAAATAAGATCTCCGTATCATTTGAGAAGACAGATAATCATTCCGCTTCAAAAACTCAAAGCAAATAATGAAATGCCAAGCTTCTGATAACACCATGTAGCCTATGTGAACAATTACCTCAAAGCTGGCTAGATCAAGCGATACAAAAAGGCCTTCTTCCTTTGCAATTTTGATGGCTGCCTTAATAACTTCTATATTCAGTATGGCATATCTCAGCACCAACCACTGTTACAAAACAAAGGCAAATAAGTAAGAAATACTAAATGCTACAAATTTCCCAGAGTTGTCCTCCAGCAAGTAATAACAGGAAAAGCAAGTTTGTGGTAGATACTAAAAAGATTTCATAAATGGATACAAGAACTCAAATTACTGGGTACAAATACAATATCGTAATAACTAATTTATAAGAAATGATGGAGACAAGAAGTTCAAGAAGCAAACAAGAGTTCAGCATATCAAATAAGGGAATCCTCACCTTGGAACCTTTGAAGTCCTCTCTTTTCAGTTCATCTGCCTGATAAGCAAGGAAATAATAAGATATGCTTAAGATCACTTTGCTTAATATTTTGCACGCCATTTAGAATCATTAGTCACCACTAAATTCGACGAGATAAAAGTGGCAAGCACCTGAACTTTCACAGAGCTAGAGAGACAGGGACGCATTGTACGATTGCCAATTTCATCAACCAGACAAACACACTGTACATCAGAAATACACAGTTTTGAATACCCGGGAATTATCTATATACATAATCCTAGTATCCAACAAGTGTGTTCACCTGAGCTGTAGTTCCATTCTTTAATCTCAATCTTGAGATATCCACTTTGTAAAAGCCCATGTTGCTCATGAATAATTTACCTTCTTCATCATTGCCACAAGCCCCAATGATTCCACAACTAATCCCAAAGCCAGCAGCCAACCCTCTAATTGTATTTGCAACACTGCCCCCAGCTATGGTCTTCAATGGAGATTCATCATCAGTAGAAGGAAGGATATGGGAATTAAGCTCGTTGAGTATATGCTTCAACTCATCAACTGCAACCTTCAGTTATCAAAGGAAAACAAATGAAAAAAGAAGCAAAACTCTTAGAACTAGTTAATCAGACTCCTCTTTAAAACAATTAAGGACATTCCTAGCAAACATAATATTTCATGGCCTGTAGTTTACACACATTTTTAGGTAACTATTATGCCTCACTTAGTTGTTAAGGGTAAGATAAGCCAAACAACTACGCCACAACTATCTGCTATAAGAATCTTCTGTATCCAATAAGTGTTCACAGCAGTATCCAGAGTTAACAGTATGATCTCTGAATTTGGAACTGTTTGCAAATAAGCAGAGTTAACAGTAAACTATACAACAATATAATTTTTGAACAAATGAAACCCACATGGATTAGATAAAAGGGAGAATTTTCGACAGAATGGAAAATGCATTTTTTCAACTCTCTGTCGGTCCAATCCCGAATGCCATATAACCCTGTTTTCAGTCTCAGATTGACTGTAGAAGTAAAATCCGGAAAGGTTACTTAATCAATCAACAACTTATAATGTTGAATTCTAGAATCACATATGAAAGGTATAAACTTTATGATATACGAACAACCGAGATCATCTCACTCACTTAAGAAGACACTATTCGGATTCTGCGATACATCAAAACCTCATCGGAAAAAAGTTGACTCTTGTTTGTCTCATACCGTTTTTACCTGTCCTGTTACTCACTGATTTTATTATAGCAATACATCACTCTAAATTTGAAGAGCATCATCTGCATGCAATCCCAATTGAATTTTAAAGCACTAGATAGCTTCAATCAACAACAATCAAATCCAGCTGCCAAATTCCCTGTCCCACCCAGAGGCGGATCTAGTATTTCTAGTGAATTGGTGCACTATTAATTAAAAAAAGAAGAAAAAAATGTGTTATGTGGGAATTGATCCCTATTATTCTTAGAAAATAATTCAACTTTCAACCAACTGCACCATTCAACCTTCCTAAAACATGGGTGCCAACATTTAATAATATATCAATTTTAGAAAAAATGTACATAAAATATTTAATGTTGCAGAAAGAGCATGGATTCACGTGCCCCATAATAATCCCTATAAATCCGCCCCTAGTCCCACCCCCATCTAAAAAATGACAATCAAACACACACATACACACAGTGCTAGCTGAAAATATGCACATTTCTTAGTTAGAGAGACAGTGGAATTAAAGATCCAATTTGCAGCAATTGGCAATAAACATTTCTTATTATGAAATCATGGAATCCTCAAAACTTAGAAATCACAAGCAATTAAGAAAGATTTAGAATCAAGAGACAGGAAAAATTGAGAATAATTAAAAAAAAAACGAGAAGACAGAGAGAAAGGAGAAGTACAGGGAAGGAGCCACCACGTTCGCCGGGAATTTGGGAGAGAAGAGACCAATCAACCTTAGCTATATGGTCAACTAGCGCAAATGGTTGAAGTCCAACTACCACCGGCGCACTACCAATTTCACTGTCACTGTTGGCGGGTCGAATTTCAATTCCCATAATTCCCCTTTTCTAAATTTGAGGGAATTAAGTTTGCTTTTTCCCCAAATGGGATTTGTTCCTTCCCAACCTTCCCCTGTGTTAGCTTTTTCTCTCTGTATCCAATTTATAGCCGCTCTCTCCTTACTGCATACTGTCCGAGTACACTTTTTTTTTTCTCAATTATTTTCTTAAAAATAAGTTTTTTATCCCAAAATTAAGCCATCAACTGTCATCTAGGTTTATTTGTAGTCAAATATCACTTTTAGCTCGCGATGAAAATTATTTATATTCAGTAACCGTAAAATTATTTATATATTTCTTATATATAACAAAAGAGAGTCTTGACGTAACTGATAAAGTTGCTGCCATGTGACCAGAATGTTACTGATTCGAGTCGTGGAAACAATATGGTGCAGAAACTGCGTACAATAGCCCATTGTGGTCTGGCCCTTCCTGATATTCCTTCTATACGGGATTCTTGTATCAATATAGTTAGGTGTGTACATGAACCGGGTTGGTTCGATTTTTATCAAAATCAAACCAAACCAACTATATTGGATTGGATTGGTTCGGTTTTATCGGTTTTTCGAGTTTTTTTTTATTTCAATATTAATTTGTTAAAGTTATAGATAAAATTTTAATAAACGAATATATGTTTAGTAAAATTTTTAAAAAATGACAAACATATGATCTATTAAAATATTCTTATGGGATAATTTTTTTAGCAACACGTGATAATTATTTTCTTAGTTGTCTAATAGTAATTTTTCGTTGATATACGCTAGCAAGGTAGCAAATTTAATAATTAAACATAAACATCAATATGAAATCTAAATAATGACATATTTTATTTAATTTTAAAATTATCGAAATACCATTTCAAATTCGAAAAAGATAGTAAGAATTTAACGGATCTTGATACATGATATGAACGAATAAGAGATTGACGCATTTCAATAATACTTGATAAGAAATTGATGATACAACTCATTATTTAAAGTAAATAAAAATGGTGCACTTCATAGATATATTATATATCACATTCCATGAGAGTATCCCAAATATTTCTAGATATTTTTTAAAGAAAATTCTATATAAAGTCTTAAAAGTATATATAAAAATTATATATTTATATGTCGGTTTGGTTCGTTTTTTTATTCAATACCAAATCAAACCTACTTGGGTTTTTTAATCGATTTAATTTGACTTTTCGATTTGGTACGCTTTTCCAGTTCGGTTTGAACACCCTAAGTATAGTCGATCGACTTTAGTCAATGTTTGACTAGTTAGATCTTGAAAGCTAATTACAAACATGACTCCCATTTGAGAATTAAGATTTAAGACCAATAGTTTCCCACGTCAAGAAGCTCATGAAGTATTTTTAAAAAAGTAAAAACTTACTTAATTTGTGAAACATGGATAAAATTGTGAGACTCAAAAAGAAAAATAAAGAAAAAAGTAAAATCCAATAAGTGATATCAAAATTATACTGCAAACATGAATTCTAGTTGCATAAGGAGATGGAGATAATGATTCTCATAATGAATAATTAGGAGTTAACATCTTTCTAAATTTCATTACAAAATTAATTAGTATTGTCGTGATATTTTGGCCAGCAATCATGCCAAAAACTACTAAGTAGTATTAATTTAGCAGCAAAACCATTCATACATTGATCATTATGAATTTAAAAGATTACACAACTCATTGATTAGAAACAAAATATTATCAGTCCTCAATAACAGACTATAATTTCTAAAAAGTTAACATTTGTTATCTTTTTTGTGAATATTGTTTTTGGATTGCACACCCCCCCCCCCCT